TAAAACATTAACAGAAATTTTACAGATTAAATACTGAGGCGCTGGATGTTGTCACTCACCATAAATGAAAGCTTTTACCCTAACCAGTTATTTCCTTGTTAAAAGATTTGCAAAAGTCAGAACCATGATCAGAGAAAAATTAAAGAAGCCTCTTTTCCCTACCATTAGCCCCAAAAGAAAAGGAAAATGACAAATTTAGGTTATGCTGTACTTGCCTAACATCTGATCATTTAAAGGATTCTCATGGTTGCATGAATTTTTCAATTTCCCTCCAAATATCTGGCTGCATTTGGATGTAGGCTTGTATTTGGTCTCCAAGTTCTATTTTCATTAAAAATCAACTGTGTTGTTGCTAGCTATGGTATGGGGTCTGACATTCAGCAGTAGATGGCACTGGGCAGGCTCCAATCTGATATAAGTTGCAGAAAGCTGAAATGACCAGATCTTGGTGATGTTTTTAATCACAGTGGCCACAGTGGTTATTGCACACTCTTCTCCCATTCCCAATCCTGATTCTCCTCTACCCTCTCAGGCACTGGTCCAATTTGCTGAAATTGGAATTACCCAGCTCACACTTCCTGGTCCTCCACCCATCTTTGCACCTATCTATTCCTAAGAGATGGAGTCAGTCCTCAAACTTCTCCCCTGGCTCCTTACCCTCTGCTGCAAACATTCATTGGCTTTTCCCATTGTGTTCCTGGGGAAAGAAAGACGCTCCCTAATTTGAAGGGAGGCTTCATTTATCAATGCATTTTTCCATAGACCTCCCTTTCTTTTCTGTCAACCTTTTCTAACAAGTAAACTACAGTAGGAAGTAAGATAAATATGCACCCGGTAACAACAAAAAAATAGAAAAAGAATCACATTCACAAAATTAAGAAATATATATATTGAATATACAGAAAATTTAAACAAGAAAAATGTGCCTATAAAAAAACATCACAATACTGATACACATAATTTTTTACTAAATGGACATGTGTTCTGGATGGGAAAACTGATTATCAAAAACATCCCAAAAAATAATGGAATATACATTGGAAACATTTTCCTGGAGTACGTTTTGTTTATGCCTATCAAGAACCTTAAACATTTGACCATTTTTTTGAGTCAACTATACCATTTCTGAGAATCTATCTGACAGAAGTACAGATCAAAATGCATGCACATTTTGTATGTTTGTTGTGTATGTTCATTTTTGTTTTATTTATGATAATTTAAAAAAAAACTGACCCAACTTAAAATTTCAATGAAAGATGATTAAGAGAATATATGGCACATCTAAACAATAAAATGTTTTCCACTATTAAAATTCAATGCAGGGCAAACATTTTAGTAGGAATGACCTCTGGGTAATAGATTTAAGATAACAATTTTTTTTCTATTCCTTTATACTTTTCTGTATTTTCCAACTTATCTAAATGAGCATGTTATTTCCAAAATATAAAGTTAAAGAATCAGAAGAAAAATTGAAAGGTGGGTGGGAAAAGCTCCTAAAAGAGTAGAATTTTGTGTTAGGTGTGTGGTTTGGATATCAAGCTAATCTAGTTTCAAGTCCTAGTTCTGCCCTTTCTAGTTTTGTGACCTTGGTAAGATGCTTCACCCTCCGGATCTCAGTGCCTCCTCCCTGTTATCTGAGGATAACAGTACTAACCCACAGGGTTATTGAAATGATTAAATTATATCATTCAGACCCTGGCTGTATATAGTAAGTCCTCAAATTAGGCTGTGATAGCTACTAATTCCCTAATTGCCCAGCTACAGAAATAGTCTTTTCCCTGAAGGCTGAGTCCCCCTTCCCTCAGCCAAACTCCCACCATTTCCCTTCCTGAAAATACTCTCAGAAAGGGCAGAAAAAAAAAATAAAGGGCAGGAGAGCAGTCCCAATATTACCTTTATGGAAGGAAAAGGACTGATGCACTCCCCACACTTACGGGAGGTAGACTGCTGGGTTTGAGCAGCAGGTAGCAGAGGACTGAGAAGGCAAGTAGAGAGGCCTGAACTGTGTGTGTCACTACCATTTCACATGGATGCATGGGTGTGACCAGTCAAGGGAGAATCTTTAGTCGGCCTGAACAGGAATCCAGATTGACTGTGGCTGAAACAGCATGGGCTGACACTCTCATTTTCCAAAGGGAAAATTGGTCCCCATTCACATGACATACCACACACTCCTTTCCACCTTCAGAGGGTTATACACACATTTTCTTCTGCTAGAAGGCATCCCCCTCCTTCTTACTCTCTATCAATGCCATCACCCTTTAGGGAGCAACTGCAGAATCACCTTCCTCCAGAGATCCTTCCCAGGCACCCAGTTCCCTGGAGTCCCACTTTTCCCCCTCCTGACTCACATCCTGCTCTTGCCTGCTAATGAGCTATTCCTTATGACCTTGTGTCATCTTGCAAGGTCACAAAGAGTGGTCTTCCCTGTCTTCACCATGTGACCCACAAAACAGATGTTTGAAAAGACTGTGAATGAATAAATAATTTCCTGTTCAGGTTTGGATTAATGAAATCTGTTCCATGGGTAACTACCCTTTTCTTTAATTCCACAGTTACAAGAGAATACAGGAGTAAGTCACTTCTCCATTTTTCATTCCAACAAAGAACCAGGACGCTGGTGCAGGTACACTGCTCCTTCTTTTTGTGACCTACAGCCCTGCAGGGTCTGCCTTGAATCACAGACAACTGCATGAGTTTTTAGTTTTGAATCTGCAGTACATACAGTCTCATCTCTCAGCAACCAGATATTGATCTCTGTCTCACTGAGTCTACACAAACTGGATTGCCTGAATTCAAGGGTTGTTTTTTTAAGGAATAAATTCAGTAAATTAAATGGAGTGATGTGTGTTTTTTTCTTACACTATGCCAAATAGCAAGTTTGACTCTTTTTATCTAGTTTTTCTAGTGACACAAAAATCTACAATGCAGAATGGGTGTGAGGAAGCCATTATTCATGCCTCATCAGAAATGAGCCAAAGTTATAATTTTGCTAATTTCACCACAGCTGTATTTGGGCCTAAAGCAAGCCCTACCATCAGGTGTACATATAACAAAAGAAGAGTTTATGAGGACAAAGGCCGATCCAGTGCTGGTTCACAGATCAGCAACAGGACATCACAGATGTTGCCTCCATGGTGAGCCAGTCATAAAGGCTGCAAATATTTAGTGAGCACCTCATGATGTGCCAGATGCAGGAGCAAGATGGATGTGTACCTGTCCTCAGAAACTTCCAGGCTGGTGGGAAAGACAGACCTTTATCTGGTCACTATGGCTGTGATGGCAGGACCCTAAAGGAGTAAAAAGTTCTGTAAACACCCAGTAGGCCCAGCCTAGCCTGCAGAGCAGTCCTTAAGAACCTATCATTTGATTCCAAGACGGCGGCCAGGAGGATGGCAGTGAGGGAGAGAGTGTGAGTGAGGGAGCAAAAGGGGAGTTTGTGAACATGTGGTGTGTGTGTGTTTGTGTGTGTGTGTTTGTCTGAGGAACAGCTAGATCTCACAGGACCTTCGGAGGCTAGTGGACCAGGCTTGCATAGCCAGGCAGCCTCTGCTACTGCTATAATCTCTCCCAGAGCACCCACCGGCTCTGCCGCAGAGGCCGTGCCATCTTGAAGGAGAGAGCTGCTGTGACTGGGAGTCCAGCCTCACCTCCACCCAGGGTGCTTTCAGACACCACCCAGGATCCTACAGCCACTCTGGCCAGGGACCTGCTGCCTCGGCTGCCAACCCACGGACACCAGGACTCCAGCCTCACCAGCTGAAGGCTTCTGTGAGTTCTGGAGGGTGTTCCCCTCCTGACAGCCAGATGCTTTAACCCCGGGCACCACAACCACATGAGCAAAAAGCCAAGCCTTATGCAGCAGCCCCAGGTTCTGTGACCGCTCCAGCAGTCATGTGAGCAGCCACCTCCCACAACTACACAAGGAGCAGCCGCCCCGCAATCCCCTGCCCCCAAAAGCAGCCACCACCCGCAACCATGCTGGGAACAGTAGCCCTGCAACTGTGAGGAGCAGCCGCCACCTGTGAACATGCGAGGAGCAGCAGCCCCGCAAGCAACAGCTGCCACCCATGACTGTAGGAGGAGCAGTCGCCCCATGACCACATAAGGAGTGGCCACTCCACAAGCAGCCACTGCGACCACCTCAGGAGCAGCTGCCCAGTGACCATCCTAGGAGCAGCCACTGCCCATGACCACCTGAGGAGCAGCAGCTGCCCGTGAGCACACAACCCACCACCAAGCCCACTGCTGCAGCCACAGGCCTCATGCGACATGACACCTAGATCCTTTGGTGAGAGCAAAAATGGGAGACAGAAAAACAACCCCCAAGGAAAGAAAAGGATGAAGCGGCAGAAAAAGGAACTAAATGAAACAGAGGCATGCAATATGTCACAGAAAGAATTCGGAATAAGGGTTATATAGTTTATAAACTGGATTTCCAACAACTTATGTAAGAATCAGGGGGAAATAAAAAGTGATAGAGCTACAATAAAAAATAATATGGAAGCTTTCAATAGTAGACTAGAAGAAGCGCAGGACCGAATTAGCGAATTAGAAGACAGGGAAGCAAAACACACCCAATCTGAACTGCAATTGGAGGGGGAAAAAATCAAAAGACATGAAGAAAGCCTGAGAGAGCTTTGGGACAACATGAAACGAAGCAACATACATATAATAGGAGTGCCAGAATGACAAGAAGAGGAGCAAGGGTTAGAAAACCTATTTGAAGAAATAATGTCAGAAAACTTCCCTGATGTGGGGAAGAATAAAGTCACACAAGCATAGAGAGTTCCAAACAAGATGAACCCAAAAAGACCCACACCAAGACACATCATAATGTTCAAGACAAAGATGGCAAATGTTCAGCAAATATATGATGGCAAATGTTCAGGACAAAGAGAGAATCTTAAAGGCTGCAAGAGAAAGACAAAGATTTGCGGTCGCTCAGAGCACAGTCGCCGTTCTCTCTCCGCCCGCAGCTTACTTCACCGCCCTTGACAATGCAGATCTTCATGAAGACCTTGACTGGCAAAACCATCACCCTCAAGGTGGAGCCCAGTGACACCATCAAGAATGTCAAGGCCAAGATCCAAGACAAAGAGGGCATCTCCCCTGACCAGCAGCGGCTGATCTTCGCCGGCAAGCAGCTGAAAGATGGGTGCACCCTGTCCAACTACAAAATCCAGAAGGAGTCTACTCTGCACCTGGTCCTGCGCTTGAGAGGGGGTGTCTAAGTTAATCCCTTTTAAGCTTTCAACCAATTTAAATTGCACTTTTCTTTCAAAAAGTTGTTGCATCCCCCCCCTCCCCCAAAGAAAGAGAGAGAGAGACAGAAAGTTACCTACAAGGGATTTCCCATTAGTTTATCAAATGCTTTCTCAACAGAAACACATCAGACCAGAAAGGAATGGAAAGAAGTATACAAAGTGATGCAAAGCAAGGGACTGAATCCAAGAATACTCTATCCAGCAAGGCTATCATTCAAAACTGAAGGGGAAATAAGGAGCTTCACAGACAAAAAAAGGCTAAGGGAGTTTATCACTACCAAGCCAGCAATGCAAGAAATGCTAAAGGGACTGGTGTAAAAAGAGGGGGGGGGGGGAGGGAGAAGAATAAACACAGGCACAAAAAATAAAAATGGCTGCAAACAAGTACCTAACAATAATAACTTTAAACATAAATGGCCTAAATGCTCCAATCAAAAGATATCAGGTGGCTGAATGGATAAGAAAACATGATCTATATATATGCTGTCTATAAGAGACCCACCTCGGAACAAGGGACTCACACAGACCGAAAATGAAAGGATGGAAAAATATCTTTCAGACAAATGGAAATGAAAAAAAAAAGCTGGGGTAGCAATAATTACATCTGACAAAATAGACCTCAAAGTGAAGGCCATAACAAGAAATAAGGAAAGCCACTTCATAATACTAAGGGGATCAATACAACAAGAGAATATAACTCTGGTAAACATATATGCACCCAATGCAGGAGCACCCAAATACACAAAAATACTTCTGGAAGATATCAAGGGACAGATCGACAGCAATATGATCATAGTAGGGGACTTTAATACCCCACTGACATCACTGGATAAATCCTCTAGACAAAAAAAAAAAAAAAAAAAAAATCAGCAAAGAAACAGTAATCCTAAATGACTCAGATGGACTTAACTGACATCTTCAGAACATTTCACCCCAAAGCTACAGAATATACATTCTTCTCAAGTGCACATGGGACATTTTCAAAAATAGACCACATATTGGGTCACAGGCAAAGTATCTCCAAATTCAATGAGATTGAAATCATATCAAACATCTTCTCAGACCACAATGCCAACATATTAGAAATCAACTACAATAAAAACAATCAAAAAATTCAAACACTTGGAGTAGCATGCTATTAAACAATGATTGGGTTACCAAAGAGATCAAAGAATAAGTTAAAAACATCCTGGAAACAAATGACAATGAAAACACAATAATCCAAAACCTATGGGGCACAGTGAAAGCAGTCCTGAGAGGGAAGTTCATAGTATTACAGGCTTACCTCAAAAAACAAGAACAACTAGTAATAAATTATCTAACTCTAAAACTTAAAGAATTAGAAAGAGAGCAATAAGAAAAGCCCAGAGTGAGCAGAAGGAAGGAGATAAGAAAGATCAGAGCAGAAATAAATGACATAGAGACCGAAAAAACAATACAAAAGATCAATGAAACCAAAAGCTGGTTCTTTGAAAAGATAAACAAGATTGCTGAACCTCCAGCCAGGCTCACCAAGAAGCAAAGAGACAGGACCCAAATAAACAAAATCAGAAATGAAAGAGGCAAAATAATAGACCCCCCACAGAAATACAAGATATTGTAAAAAAAAAAAAGAGGTGAAACTGTCATTATTCACAGAAAACATGATATTGCACATAGAAAACCATAAAGACTCCATCAAAAAACTATTAGAACTAATAAATAAATTCAGCAACGTAGCAGGATACAAAATTAACACCCAGAAATCTATGGCATTTTTATACACCAATAATGAACTCAAAGAAAGAGAAACTAAAAAAAAACAATCCCACCTACCATTGCAACAAAAAAATTAAAATACCTAGGAATAAATTTAACCATGGAGGTAAAGGACCTGTACTCAGAAAATTACAGAATGCTGATAAAAGAGATATAGAGGAAGACATAAACAAATAGAAGAATATACCGTGTTCATGGATTGGTAGAATCATCACTGCCAACAGCATACTTCAAAGACCTAGAACACGCTCTCCAAAAGTTCATCTGGAATAAAAAATAAAATAAAATACAAAGACCCTGAATAGCTGTAGCAATCTTGAGAAAGAAGAACGAAGTTGGAGGGATCACAATACCAGATATCAAGCTATACTACAAAGCCACTATTCTTAAAACTTCCTGGTTCTGACACAAGAACAGATATATAGACCAATGGAACAGAACAGAGAATCCAAAGATTGACCCAAGCCATTATGCTCAATTAATATTTGACAAAGGAGGCAAGAGCATACAATGGAGTCAAGACAGTCTCTTCAATAAATGGTGTTGGGAAAACTAGACAGATACATGCAAAAAAAATGAAACTAGACCACCCACTTACACCATACACAAAAATAAACTCAAATGGATAAAGGACTTAAATGTAAGATGGGTAATCATAAAAATCCTAGAAGAATCCATAGGCAGCAAAATAGCACACATCTGTCGCAGCAATATCTTTACCAATTCAGCTCCTAGGGCAATGGAAACTAAGGAGAAAATAAACAAATGGGACTGCATCAAAATAAAAAGCTTCTGCACAGCAAAAAAAAAAAAAAAAAAAAAAAACCCTATCAACAAACAATAAGAAAGCCCACTGCATGGGAGAACATATTTGCCAGTGTTATCTCCAATAAGGGTTTAATCTCCAAAATTTATAGGGAACTCATACAACTTAAAAAATGGAAGATAAACAATCCAATCAAAAAATGGGCAAAGGACCTAAATAGACACTTTTCAAAAGAAGACATACAGAAGGAAAAGAGACATATGAAAATATGCTCACAGTCACTAATCATCCAAGAGATGCAAATCAAAACAACCATCTCACACCTGTCAAAATGGCTGTCATCAACAAATCAACACACAAGTGCTGGAGAGGTGTGGAGAAAAAGGAACCCTTGTGCACTGCTGTTGGGAATGCAGACTGTGGGTTCAACCACTGAGGGTGGTCCAACCACTGTGGGAAAAGAGTATTAACTTCCTCAAAAAATTCAAATTGGAATTCCCATTCTCACTTCTAGGAATATATCCCAAGAAACCAGAAACACCAATGAGAAAGTATATATGCACCCCTATGTTCATAGCAGCATCATTTACAATAGCTAAGATTTGGAAACAGCCTAAGTGCCCATCATCAGATAAGTGGATTAGAAAACTGTGGTACATCTACACAATGGAAATACACTGCTGTAAAAAAGAAGGAATTTTTACCATTTGCAACAGCATGGATGAAACTGGAGAGCATTATGCAAGCGAAATAAGCCAGTCAGAGAAAGATAAATATCACATGCTCTCACTCATTTGTGGAATATAATGAACAACATAAACTGATGAGCAAATATAGCACCAGAGACATAAAGCATCGAACAGACTGTTCAACCTATGAGGGAAGGCGGAGGGAGGGGGTAAGAGATCAACCAAAGGACTTGTATGCATGCATATGAGCATAACCAATGAACACAGACAGGGGTGGGGGTGTGAGGGCACGTGCTGGGGGGTGGGGGCGGCTGGGGAGAGGCAAATGGGGGGGAAAGGAGACGTATGTAATACTTTAAACAATAAAGAATTTAAATTTAAAAAAAATAACCTATCTTTTAAACAGAGTCCTGAAGGATAAGTAGAAGTCAGCTAGGTTAACTGGGGCCAGAAGGTGGGTGGGGCTTCAAAGGGAGAAAGATCATTCCAGGCAGAACAGGCAGCATGAACCTGGGATAAAAGCAAGCATGGCCTGTTTGAGAAACTGAGCAATGTCCTCAATGGCCAAATGGTACAAAAACAAGGAGGAACCCATAAGGGTTGAGACTGGGAAATAATTAATTCTGAGCCTACAAGGCCAGGTAAGGGTTCTAAACTTTCTACATGCAAGGAGAAGTACCTTGGGAGCTTTCAGTTTGGTTCCTTTGGCTGCAATAAGGAGATGTGTTTGGTAAGGGGAAGGTAAAATCAGGGAGATGACTTAGGGTGCTGAGTCTGTAGCCCAAGCATGAGATGGTGGTAGCCTGGGGGGCATGGTGACAATGGGCATGGAGAAGAGAGGGCAGATTTTTGGAAGAGTTCCCAAACAGAGGCAGTCCTCAAATAACATTGCTGCTTCCTTTTATTGAGTCAACCTCACAACTCATCCCCCTCGGCCTCTTATATCCCACCATCCACTCATATCCTGGGAATATATATGAAAGTGGGGAGACCAGGTGGCCTTCCCTTGAGCCATGAGCAATTTTATTTATATATCACATTTATAATATCAATTGAAAAGAGATCCTCTGCCATTAAACATGCATATTCCCACTTCCATATCCAATTAATCACTGGAGAGACCCTTGGTTTTACAAAAGGAAAGAGACCAGTTTCAGCACAGCCACTAGCAACCAGAAATGAGCCTGAAAACTAAGTCCTCCATCTCTTCCCAGGCCAGGGTCCTGTCCACACGGCCTCCAAAGAGAAGATGGTGATCAGCGTCATGCTGCTCTGAGGTGAGAGGCTACCTGTCCTTCCCCTCCGCTTCTATAAGGCTCCGACCACTTCAGGACTAAAATGGACATCATGGATTCTTAAGAGGATTTTTTTAAAAAAGAAACAAGTAATATGTTTCCTCCTCTATTGTGCATTTTCCCTAGAAGCCCTCTATAAAAGGTTTTTATTATCCAAGGCAGCCTTTGAGATGTCACTCCAGCCCTAAATGTATTTGCATTAAGGTGCAGCTTATTTCTTGCATCTCCCAGAACCTTGCCCTCTTGCTATTAGTACATTCACAACCCCTCACACTCACAACAGAACAAGAGAAGTCAGAGTAGATGAAAGGAACCAGATCCATTTGCTCCTAACCAGGCCCCTTAAGAGCCTCTTAGAGGATCCCAGGTTACAAATATGTTCATCTTTTCCATTCACAAATACCTTTTGAAGGCAAAGATGTGTCTATAAAATGGGACAAGAATAAAGTCTATTGTTCC